TTGATAGGTAGGTAGGTAGGTAGGTAGATGATAGATAAGATAGGTAGATAGATAGATAGATAGATAGATAGATAGATAGATAGATAGGTGGGTAGATAGGCAGATAAGATAGGTGGGTAGATAGATCGATAGATAGATATGATTGATAGATATGATAGATGGGTGATATAGATAATTGATACGATAGATGATAAATAGATGTTTGTTTGATAGGTAGGTAGGTAGATAGGTAGGTAGATGATAGATAAGATAGGTAGATAGGTAGGTAGATAGGTAGATAGATAGATAGATAGATAGGTGGGTAGATAGGTAGATAAGATAGGTGGGTAGATAGATCGATAGATAGATATGATTGATAGATATGATAGATGGGTGATATAGATAATTGATACGATAGATGATAGATTTAAATAGATATTTGATTGATAGGTAGGTAGGTAGACAGACAGATATCATGGTTGTGTGTGTCCCTGATTCCCAGTTTCTTATTCCTCACTAAGGAATATTCCTCAATCGCCAAGCGTTCTTTTTCTTCCAACAGATCATTGATTCGCTAATTTGCAAAACATCCGATTTCGTTTCCAAGATTGCCGTCGTGAGAATCTCGCCTGCCACAACCATCTGCCGGCACCGACTGATGAACTCCAGCGATAGGCTAAAGCCCAGAACTCGCTGGAGCCCTCTCACTTCAGCAACCCAATTAGCATCATTTAGCACACACAGAAAAGGAGTTCCAACAGCAATTTTTTTTTCTTTCTTTCTTTCCTCCCCTCTGCAAAATTAAAGCCGCTCGGATGCTTGTGGAGTCACGCAGCCAGAAAGCAGCAAGCTCGTTTAGAAGCTGCACCAAATGGGTTGCGGTTGGCTTTGCCTCGGTGGAGGTTATGTGTTAAGACGCTTTTCTGCCTGGCAGCAGAAAGTTCTGCGACCCGAAAAAAGGGAGGAAGGGAGAGAAGGGAAGGAAAAGGAAGGGAAGAAAGAAAGAATGGAGGAAGGAAGGAAGGAAGGGGTGAAGGAAGGGGAGAGAGAGGAAGGTGGAAGTAAGGACAGTAGGTGAGAGGGAGGGAGGGAGGGAGAGAGAGAGGGATAAGGGAGGGCAGAGGGAGATAGGAAGGAAGAAAAGGGAGGGAGGAAAGAAGAAAGGGAAAAAGGAGGGAGGGAGGAGGCAAAGAAGGAAGGGTAAGGGAGGAAAAGGAAGGGAGGGAGGGAGGAGAGAGAGGAAGGTGGAAAGAAGGAAAGTAGGTGAGAGGGAGGGAGGAAAGAAGGAAGGAAGGGAAGAGGGAGGGAGGAAAGAAGGAGGCAAGGAAGGAAGGGTAAGGAAGAAAAAGGAAGGGAGGAAGGAAGGAAGGAAGGAAGGAAGGAAGAAGAGAGAGGAAGGAAAGTAGGTGAGGGAGGGAGAAGAGGGAGGGTGGAGGGAGAAAGGAAGGAAGGAAGGAAGGAAGGAAGGAAGGAAGGAAGGAAGGAAGGAAGGAAGGAAGGAAGGAAGGAAGGAAATGAAAGCAGTTAGATCAGATCAGGCAAAGGGTCTCATTCACACACACACGTGCAACCATACAGACACACAAAACTGGGTTTATTTTTACAACCTATTGATGTGTAGCTATTAGGACTTGGGTGGGAGCGTTTCAACTGGTGGGAGAAATGGGAAATTTCAATAGATATTCTCCAGCTGTTCGCGATCCATCGATTGACAACGTTGGCATTCTGCCTGCCAATCATCCCTAAGCTGGGCTGGCCTTCCCAGATCTCAGTCAATACCCATGGGAATTTCTAGCCAGCTATGTTTTGATGTGTGAAAATACAGTATAACTGCATGGGTTAAATAGGCAAAACAGTTATTATTATTATTTTTTTTCATCCTTTCAAAAACCCAGGAATAACAACTGAACAAAACTCAGGAAAATCAAGAAGTTCCCGCTGCAGCGGTGCCAATTTTGTGTCAGAACTCAAGATAGATGGCAAATTAAGTCTTGGGGCGGCGGGGAACATGATATCTCCTTGCCAGGCTTTTAAAAACTCGCTTTGACAAATTAACAGCGTTAATTTGAAACAGTCTAGTACATCGGTAGTAATAATCGGTGTATCTATTTCCCATTTAGTTCTCCTTCTCTCCCCGCATGCAAATCCACACCACTTTTCTCTACGGATGAGAGTGTTTCCTTTAATCTTCCAACATTAAAAGAGTGTTATATCTAACTTTCCATGGCATTGCAGGCATTGGCAGGGGGGGAAGCGAATCGAGGCAGAGAAAAAAGGAAGGTTTTTTTTTTTAAAAAAAGGGAGAAAGCTAACAATAGATATAAGTCCTCTCTTGCCGAGTTTCAAAGAAATTGCTTCATTTTTTTTTTTTTTTGACATTGCTGCCTCTGGCTAAGTAGGGGCCGGATTGATTGGGAGCTATTGAAAGAGATTTTAGTAAGGGTTTTTTTTCCCCGCCCCGCCTCCAGTGTAGCATCAATGACCTGTGAGAGAAATGTAACAATGAAGAGAAATTTCACTGGAGCCCTCGCAATTTTAAATAATAGTTATTTAAGTGGGGAATGTAGAAGTTGACGGACAGATTGGCAAAGAGCACGTGGGCCGTTCGGTTTGACAATGGAAGGACGGCCCAACCGCACAACTTATCTCAAGCTTAGTCAGGTCTTTGTTTAAGGGCTTCTCTATAGCCTGACAAGTTCAATTTTTTATCAGGTCCCGGGTGCTCTCTGAGCTTGGTGGCTTTCTTGCAGACGTTGCGTTACCCAGCTAGGTAACATCATCAGTGCTAGAATGGGGTGAGGGTTTGACAAGAGGAGGAGGAGGAGGAGGAGGAGGAGGAGGAGGAGGAGGAGGAGGAGGAGGAGAGGGTCCTTGTGCCCTCTGAGCTTGGTGGCTTTCTTCCAGACGTTGCATTACCGAACTAAGTAACAACATCAGTGCTAAGGAAATGCCAAGAAAACTTAATAAAGGAGAATATTTGTCGCTCCGAAATGAGGGGTCTCTGAGTTTGGTTGCTTTCTTGCGGATGTTTCCTTACTAAACTGGGTAACGTCATCAGCTAGATAACACCGAGGATGTTATTTAGGTGACAGGAAGGGCATCCGGCCAGGAAACACTCTGCTGGCTCCGTTCAGTTGCCCAAGACTCCACCCCGCAAGGGATTATGGGGTGGTTAAAAGAGGAGGATTACTCGGAACCAGGACAATAGGATCTCCCGGCAGGAGCAGGGGATGTACTACTAGTCTACGTTCTAGGTTTCCGCCGCGGGAGCTGGGCGGCAGATGTTGCAGGGTCCCTTTGTAAAGCGCGTGAAGCTGCACAATCCCCACATCTGGCGGTAAAGCCCGACGGCCAGAGCTACATCCGCCACGGCTCCCGAGGCCAGCCGTCCCTCCCCCCCGCCCCGAGCCTCGCCGCCTCGCCTCATTAGACGCCGTGGCGCACGGCGGCACCAGGGCGCCTCACCTTGAACATCTGCTTGACCTTCTGGCGGGGGAGGTTGACGTTCAGCTTGTGCATGAGCTGCAGCACTTCGTTAATGCTCAGGCTGCCGTCGCCGTTTTTGTCGGCTTCGTCGAAGGTTTGCTTCAGCCACATTTGAGCCGGGCGTTAAGGAAAGGGAGAGGATCGCTCGGCCAGAAGGAGAGACGGCCGGAAGGGGGGGAAAAACCCCCCCCCCCCCCCCCCCCGCCCCCTTTCCTGGAGACAGCCGCCGGGTTGGTGCATCGGGCCAACTTCTGCTGGGATAGAAAATGATAGAAAAACTAGAAAAGAAGAATAGAATAGAATAGAATAGAGCAGAGCAGAATAGAATAGAATAAGAAAAGAACAGAATACTGTATTCTATTCTATTCCCATATAGAATAGAATGATATAGAATAGAATAGAATAGAATAGAATAGAATAGAATAGAATAGAATAGAATAGAATAGAATATAGAATAGAGTAGAACATAGAATAGAATTCAGGAATAGAGTAGAATAGAATAGAATAGAACAGAACAGAACAGAATAGGAATAGGAAAAGAATAGAATACTGTATTCTATTCTATTCTCATATAGAATAAAATTATATAGAATAGAACATAGAATTCAGAAATTGAATAGAATAGAATGATAGAATAAATAGAAAAGAATAGAATAGAGCAAAGCAAAATAGAATAGAATAGAATAAGAATGATAGAGAATAGAATAGAATAGAATAGAATAGAGGAATAAGAATAAAATAGAATACAGGAAATAGAATAGAATAGAACAGTACAATACAACAGAGTTGGAAGGGACTTTGGAGGTCTTCTAGTCCAACCCCCCCACTGAGTCAGGAATCCCTATGCCATTTCAGACATTTCGTTCTGTCTCTTCACTTAGCCTACATGCTCTGGAACCCTTCCCCTTAAAAAGTGTAGGGCTTCCTCTCTAAACAGCAGGGTGGGGGGGTTGGACTAGAAGACCTCCAAGGTCCCTTCCAACTCTTGCCATTCTAAAAGGATACTGGTCTCTCGTCCTCTGCCGCTTGGACAGACTGTCTTCATCGCTTATCCCGGCCATGAGGTACTTGAGGCCGGTGATCCACATCCGGGCTTCCTCCCCGTTGGAGGAGACCAAGTCGAGGGACTCCATGTGGTCCCCATAGTAGATGGTGAAGCAGCAGTTGGGGTCGAAGCTGCCGTCGCCGTAGCGCTGGAAGATCTCCGACTGCTTCCCTTCGCACACTTCCTGGATGGAATCTATGGAGACTGCGGGGAGGAGGAGGAGGAGGAGGAGGGGAAGGAGGAAAACGTCAGAATTAGAATGCAGGGCTTTGCCTTTGAACCATGGGAGCCACGTTGTAAACAGCCTTCTTATATCTAATAAAAGGGATCAGAGCCTTTTCCTCTCCCATAAGCCATGTTGCTCCCTTCTCCGTTCCTCCCTGTGTGCCCTAGGATGAAGAGGGGGTGGCCCTGGGTCTTCCTCTGAAGGCCCAGCCAGACTGTGCCCTTTCCCAGTTTCTTCCACAGCCACCAGAGCCACACTCCCATTCCCTGTCAGCTGCTCAATCGCCCCCTCGGAATCAGACTCCGACAAGGGCGCAACAGTCATAATACAAGGCCAGACATGTCATGGACGATACATGGGCTAGACGTGTCACCAAATTCTGATCTGTGACCGTAATCCAAGGCGGATCGACACGACACGTTTCACTTACTTTTAGCCTTTTCATTTTTTCGCGAGGGTCTCCAACGAATGCACGACTTGTGTTCATCTAGGTAGTAGAAACGGACGAGGCCCTTGGAGCTACCTCGGAGTTTGATCATCTGCGTGCCGGCTTGCATGGAACTCATACATTTTTCCACTACGGGGGGGGAAAAGAAAAGGGGGGGGAAATATATATTTGTGATGCTAAAGATCGCACGTACCTCGTGCCGCGCGCTCGATTTTCAGAGATCTGGGCAACGAAAGTTTTTAATGGGAAAATCAAGCCACGGGTTTAAGAATTGCATTCCCAGCGTGCAGTTTTGTAAGGTATTTATTTTAGTGGGGAGCTGTGTCTCCAAACATGGACCGGCGGTGAAAATCAATATATAAATTGCACTCCAAGGAGTGAAAAGTTGCAGGATTTGCAAGTTGGGTAAGTCTGCTTGTCAGGTGGATTAACTCTGGGCACGGCCTGCTATTTACCCTCCATTACTTCACGGCGATAAGAGTTAGAACCTGGCCCACAAACGCCTCTTTTGTCAATCTTAACCGCAAATTGCAACACAATCTAATTACTTTTTATTACCTTAAGTTTCAGGTTGCATTGACTCTTTCTCTTAGTTACTGCCTAGCCGATCTGAGCGATGCGCTCTCTTATAACGGCACCAAATTCTGTTCGATAGCTGGTGAAATCTGTGAGTATTTTGTCAGGAACAGTTTGACTACATTTTCATTTGCCATTATTTGCCTTATTCTGAGAAGGGAAGGGAAGAGGAGAGGAGAGGAGAGGAGAGAGAAGAGAAGAGAAGAGGAGAGAATGGAGAGTAGAGTAGAGTAGAGTAGACAGAAAAATAGAATAGAACAGAATACAGGAAGAGTAGAATAGAATAGACATAGAAGAATAGAAACTCACAAAGGTACATGGGGACAAACTCCTTTTTCGGCGTGGAAAGAAGACGTTAAACATTTGCAAAGCTCAGAACGGCGAACTGGAGCCCAAACTGCAATCCAGAGATATTCAGACAAAGCAGAACTTCTCTATGGATTCTCCATATGGAATCATAGAGACATAGGGCTGGAAGGGGCCTCGGAGGTCCAACCCCTTGCCCAAGACAGAAGGTTTTATACCATCCTGGACAAATGGCAACCTTTAATTGAATTTAAGGTTTTAATTACAACCTTGAATAAATCTTTTCCTTCCAGGGCTGATAAACCTCAGGAAAAAGGGCCTTTCGTTTTTGTGGTTTTCGCTGAAAAGCAAGACAGCCATTCCAAAGCTGTAAATAAATCAAACTGATCTTGGTGTCGGGTTTTTTTGGGTGCAAATCATGCGTTTAAAATAGGAATACAAATAAAATATTGACATGCACCATGGCAGAACAGAACAGCCCTGTTCATTGATTTCATTTTGGTTCTGATCTGACAGAGAAAGTTCGCAGGCTGCCTTGCACGATATGAAGCTTCGGCAAAGCAACAGATGTGAGGGTTTGGCTGCAATATTTCAACGATGGAGTCTTTTTAAATAATCATATTTCATTTGGGGAGTGGTGGCATTATATCAACAAATCTAACCCCTTCCCACATTACAGATCTACCTGTACGATTGGAATACCTGGAAATCCAAATGTTTTTCTTTCGGCCCCTGCTCCAATGGCCCCCAAAGGAGATTAAAAATTGCCCATCGTTTCTCAAGTCAAATCCTCCAAGTCAATATTAATTGAATTTTTTGGCTTCGGAGCTGATGATCTGTGTGCATCCTTCTTTAAATTGGCCTGAGGTTGAACGGAGGGTTATTCAATCAGGCCCCCAATTTTGACTGGGGTATTAATTCGATTTTCAGGCGTTCATCTCTGGCGTTCATCTCTTTACCCAGAGATCGCTGGGTAGTTTTTTTACCCAGGATTTTAATATTTGGAGGCGCTGAAAGTTGAAAGAGGATTGACTGATGGTCTTTGTTTGTGATGAGAGAGCTTGGTGGCACCAAGGGATGCCTGCCAGAAAACCTCTCAAGCCAAGCAGGAAGAACAAAGCCGTTGTGTCGGACCGTCTCCCGGACTCCGTGTACAAGGAAACGTGAACCAGCTCTTGATGGGTTTGAAGGATTCAGATGTTCCTGAGGCATCTGGACTCGAATTGTGACCAATTAAAGGTAGAGGTTCCCCTCGCACATATGTGCTACTCGTTTCTGGCTCTAGGGGGCAGTGCTCATCTCCGTTACAAAGCCCAAGAGCCAGCGCAGTCTGAAGACGTCTCCCTGGTCATGTGGCCAGCAGGACTAAACGCCGAAGGCGCGCGGAACGCTGTTACCTTCCCACCAAAATAGTGGTCCCTATTTTTCTAATTGCATTTCTTTTTTTTACATGCTTTTGAACTGCTAGGTTGGCAGAAGCTGGGACGAGTAACGGGAGCTCACTCCATTCTGCGGCGCTAGGGATTCGAACCGCCGAACGGCCGGCCTTTCTGATCGGCCAGCTCAGAGTCTCTTAGTCACTGAGCCACCGCGTTCCCCTTTAGTGAGCCAGTACTGCCACCCGCAAGGTCTATTCGGTTGAAAGAACCAGGTGGAGGAAGCGTAAGGATTTCAGAGGGCTGGATTGGATCGAATTGAGAGGTTCCCGGCCACTGGCGTTCAGGAATAGACTTCCACTGAGGTTGGAGGTTCTACAAAGCGCAATTTGGGCCCCACAGATAGTTCTGGAAAAAACTATCCGAGCTGGAAGTTTGCAGTGACTGCTAACCCGGCGGTTAGTGAAAAGAAGGACTAGGGGAGACATGATAGCAGGGTTCCAATATCTCGGGGGCTGCCCCAAAGAAGAGGGAGTCAAGCTATTCTCCAAAGCACCTGAACGCAGGACAAGAAGCGTTGGATGGAAACTAACCAAGGAGAGAAGCAACCTGGAATTAATGGGGAATTTCCTGACAGTTAGAACAATTAATCAGTGGAAAGGCTTGACTCCAGAAGGTGTGAATGCTCCAACACTGGAAGTTTTTAAGAAGAGATTGGGCAGCCATTTTTTTTTTTTTTGAAATGGAATAGAGTTTTCTGCTAGAGCAGGGGGTTGGACTAGATGACCTCCAAGGTCCCGTCCAACTCCGATGGGGATGTCCTTATTGGAGAGTCAGAGGATTATCTAACGCAAGTAAAACCCTCAAGGCAACAAACTGATCTGCTACTTAATCTTCTCACAATCTGCTCTGCCTTATGTCGTGTCTTTATTTAAAAGATCCGTATGCCACTTTTCCAAGGAAATGGCAAAATACTACCTTACAAGAGTGTCTCAGGGCCGGCATCAACCTCTGCATTTAAGGAACAAGACAGAAAGTCTGTTTGAGAGCAGCCACGACATTTAAAATGACCAATCACATTTAAAATACTGTATAACCATAACCCCAATTAAAGAAAAACAGCAATTACGTTTAAAAATGCTAAGCAAGTCCCACGGAAAAGTCAAAACGTCAACTATCAAAAAAAAAAGAGCTGTCCCAGTCTCGTAATGAGAATTACATTTGAACAAGTCAATTAAAACGAAGCGGCAGCAAGAAAAGATTTGCATGGATTTAGGGCCAACGTCGACCCTTGTTAGCCCAGCCTCATTCTGGTCAGGCAAGCTTTAAATGTTTATCCGCAATCTTTTAAACAAACTTTAGGACTCGGACTGTCAAAATAGAAGGGAGGAAAACCAGCTGTTTTTCTCCTTAATCAAATTACAGATGAAATGAAATCCTTTATAAAAAATAAAAAAAAAGGTAGGGATTTTTTTTACTTCTAGAACCAAAAACTTCACAGATATTTAGCATTAAGACAGAGGGGAAATAAGAAGGTTGTTTCCCTTCCCCGAAGTTCCCAAATGGAGCCAAATCTTTCTAAAAAATGCAAAAACCAAATCCAAGAATGAAATGACAGAGTGTGTCTGGCCAAGTTCAAATAAATTATAGCTAAATTGCCAGTAAAGCTGTATTAAAACAGTTCGGGGAATTGTCTTCTTGCTAGCCGATACGTCAATGCTTGATATATTGGTATGGCCAGTTGTACAGAATCTTAATTGCTTCATTAAGATGCACAAACATGCAAGGTGGTACAAGATATGTCCTGAATGGACAATCAGTAGCTAGTGAGAGCCTCAACTTCCAAACGTTTTTATCGCCCTTGAAAGCCCTCCTAATTGATTGCTGCTACTCCTTTCTTGTGGCCGGGAGTTCCACCGGGGATCGGGAAAACACTTGTGTGGAAGATTAGCTCAAGAAAGCACGGTCCTCTGCACAAGCCCCTCTGCAAATGTCCATAGACAAACCCGTCACTGTATCTCATCTTAGAAGATCCTCTCGCAACTTTACGACCCGCGGACTTCAACTCCCAGAATTCCTCAGCCGACGGGGCTGAGGGATTCTGGGAGCTGAAGTCCGCGGGTCATAAAATGGCCAAGGTTGGAGTTCCCTGTTCTAGAGGAAATGGACTCCAGAGGTCACATCGCTGGCCTTACCAATTTGGCCCATCTTCCATTTGGGTGCCGCTGCGATGCTCCCACCGACCCAGAAAAACGCCTCTGCCAGGTGGGCGACGGAAAACTTGCTTTGGAACAAAAAAGAGAGGGAAAAATCCATGTCGTAAACCGAGGAGGCCCCTTCAGCCTTCGGTCCCAAGTTCCGAGAGGGAGGAATCTTCAGTCGTAGCAGAACATACCTGGCCCTTCTCCCACTGAAACGCTTACTTGTATTTTTATCTTTTAGAAAAAAGAACCGGATGTTATGCCAGCCTGGGATTTTGCCTGGGAACTCATTCCTCCTTCTGTCCTTCTTCGAGGCGACAAAGCAAACCAGAAGTTTTCCGCTTTATGAATCCGAGCCGCTGGCGTGGCGTTCGAGAAATTAAAAACAAAACAAAAAAGCAACCGGCCACAAAATTATACACACACACACACATATATAAATAATAATAATTCCCCTTTTTTTTTGCTTGCAGGGTCTCATCGTCCGTTCTCCCACCTCCAGAACTAGCCGCGGTTGGAGAAAGGTGCGTTTGGGCAGCTTGGTGAGTATTGGATGCGCTCCTGGTGCGAAACAGCTGCCTCTCTTCGACAGAGCTGGCTAGTGCTGGAGGGAGCCCATCCCTGCCACATCTGGGGAAGGGGAGTGCTCGAAATCCCGAGGAGTTTGTAG